GAGTCTGAGTCTGTGACTGTGTCTGAGTCTGTGTCTGAGTCTGTGTCTGTGTCTGTGTCTGTGTCTGTGTCTGAGTCTGAGTCTGAGTCTGAGTCTGTGTCTGTGTCTGAGTCTGTGACTGTGTCTGAGTCTGTGACTGTGTCTGTGACTTTGAGTTTGGGAACCAGGAAGGAGTTTGGGGAGTTTAAAGTCCGTCTGTGATCTGAAAACCAGTGAAGATTATTTTAATACTTTTCTTCATTTGTGGAGATGTGAAGAACTGTCCTGTAGTCTCACTGTAGACTTAGACCAGACTTAGACCAGACTTAGACCGGACTTAGACCAGACGTAGACCAGACTTAGACCAGACTTCGACCAGACGTAGACCAGACGTAGACCGGACTTAGACCAGACTTAGACCACACTTAGACCAGACGTAGACCAGACTTAGACCGGACTTAGACCAGACGTAGACCAGACTTAGACCAGACTTAGACCAGACATAGACCAGACGTAGACCAGACGTAGACCGGACTTAGACCAGACTTAGACCACACTTAGACCAGACGTAGACCAGACTTAGACCAGACTTAGACCAGACTTAGACCAGGACCTGACCGGGGCCAGGTCAGGCCCCGGTCAGGCCCAGTTCAGACCTAGGTCAGGCCCAGGTCAGGCCCAGTTTAGACCGTGTTCAGACCCAGTTCAGACCCAGTTTAGACCCAGGTCAGGGCCAGGTCAGGCCCAGTTCAGACCCAGGTCAGACCCAGGTCAGGGTCAGTTCAGACCCAGGTCAGGCCCAGGTCAGACCCAGTTCAGACCCAGTTCAGACCCAGGTCAGACCCAGTGCAGACCCAGTTCAGGACCCAGGTCAGGCCCAGTTCAAACCTCTTGTGTTGGTGACATCATGGTTTTGGGAGATTTCCATTAGATTAAAAGTGTCTGTGTCTGTGTCTGACTGTGTCTGTGTCTGTGTCTGAGTGTGTCTGTGTCTGTGTCTGTGTCTGTGTGTCTGAGTCTGTGTCTGAGTCTGTCTGAGTCTGAGTCTGTCTGAGTCTGTCTGTGTCTGTGTCTGTGTCTGTGTCTGAGTCTGTGTCTGTCTGTGTCTGTGTCTGTGTCTGTGTCTGTGTCTGTGTCTGTGTCTGAGTCTGTGTCTGTCTGTCTGAGTCTGAGTCTGTGTCTGTGTCTGTGACTGAGTCTGAGTCTGTGTCTGAGTCTGTGTCTGTCTGTCTGAGTCTGTGTCTGAGTCTGTGTCTGAGTCTGTGTCTGAGTCTGAGTCTGTGTCTGTGACTGTGTCTGAGTCTGTGTCTGTGACTGTGTCTGAGTCTGTGTCTGTGTCTGAGTCTGTGTCTGAGTCTGTGTCTGTGTCTGAGTCTGTGTCTGAGTCTGAGTCTGTGTCTGTGTCTGAGTCTGTGTCTGAGTCTGTGTCTGAGTCTGTGTCTGAGTCTGTGTCTGTGTCTGAGTCTGTGTCTGAGTCTGTGTCTGTGTCTGAGTCTGTGTCTGTGTCTGAGTCTGTGTCTGTGTCTGTGTCTGAGTCTGTGTCTGAGTCTGAGTCTGTGTCTGAGTCTGTGTCTGAGTCTGAGTCTGTGTCTGTGTCTGAGTCTGTGTCTGAGTCTGTGTCTGAGTCTGTGTCTGAGTCTGTGTCTGTGTCTGAGTCTGTGTCTGAGTCTGTGTCTGAGTCTGTGTCTGTGTCTGAGTCTGTGTCTGTGTCTGTGTCTGAGTCTGAGTCTGTGTCTGTGTCTGAGTCTGTGTCTGAGTCTGTGTCTGTGTCTGAGTCTGTGACTGTGTCTGAGTCTGTGTCTGAGTCTGTGTCTGAGTCTGTGTCTGAGTCTGAGTCTGTGTCTGTGTCTGTGTCTGAGTCTGTGTCTGTGTCTGTGTCTGAGTCTGAGTCTGAGTCTGTGACTGTGTCTGAGTCTGTGTCTGTGTCTGTGTCTGTGTCTGAGTCTGTGTCTGAGTCTGTGTCTGTGTCTGTGTCTGAGTCTGTGTCTGAGTCTGTGACTGTGTCTGAGTCTGTGTCTGAGTCTGTGTCTGTGTCTGAGTCTGTGTCTGTGTCTGAGTCTGTGTCTGTGACTGTGTCTGAGTCTGTGACTGAGTCTGAGTCTGTGTCTGAGTCTGTGACTGAGTCTGAGTCTGTGTCTGTGTCTGAGTCTGTGTCTGAGTCTGTGTCTGAGTCTGTGTCTGAGTCTGAGTCTGTGTCTGTGACTGTGTCTGAGTCTGAGTCTGTGTCTGTGACTGTGTCTGAGTCTGTGTCTGTGTCTGAGTCTGTGTCTGAGTCTGTGTCTGTGTCTGAGTCTGTGTCTGAGTCTGAGTCTGTGTCTGTGTCTGTGTCTGAGTCTGTGTCTGAGTCTGTGTCTGAGTCTGTGTCTGAGTCTGTGTCTGTGTCTGTGTCTGAGTCTGTGTCTGAGTCTGTGTCTGAGTCTGTGTCTGTGTCTGAGTCTGTGTCTGTGTCTGTGTCTGAGTCTGAGTCTGTGTCTGAGTCTGAGTCTGTGTCTGAGTCTGTGTCTGAGTCTGAGTCTGTGTCTGTGTCTGAGTCTGTGTCTGAGTCTGTGTCTGAGTCTGTGTCTGAGTCTGTGTCTGTGTCTGTGACTGTGTCTGAGTCTGTGACTGTGTCTGTGACTTTGAGTTTGGGAACCAGGAAGGAGTTTGGGGAGTTTAAAGTCCGTCTGTGATCTGAAAACCAGTGAAGATTATTTTAATACTTTTCTTCATTTGTGGAGATGTGAAGAACTGTCCTGTAGTCTCACTGTAGACTTAGACCAGACTTAGACCAGACTTAGACCGGACTTAGACCAGACGTAGACCAGACTTAGACCAGACTTCGACCAGACGTAGACCAGACGTAGACCGGACTTAGACCAGACTTAGACCACACTTAGACCAGACGTAGACCAGACTTAGACCGGACTTAGACCAGACGTAGACCAGACTTAGACCAGACTTAGACCAGACATAGACCAGACGTAGACCAGACGTAGACCGGACTTAGACCAGACTTAGACCACACTTAGACCAGACGTAGACCAGACTTAGACCAGACTTAGACCAGACTTAGACCAGGACCTGACCGGGGCCAGGTCAGGCCCCGGTCAGGCCCAGTTCAGACCTAGGTCAGGCCCAGGTCAGGCCCAGTTTAGACCGTGTTCAGACCCAGTTCAGACCCAGTTTAGACCCAGGTCAGGGCAGGTCAGGCCCAGTTCAGACCCAGGTCAGACCCAGTTCAGGCCCAGTTCAGACCCAGTTCAGACCCAGTTTAGACCCAGGTCAGGCCCAGGTCAGACCCAGTTCAGACCCAGTTCAGACCCAGGTCAGACCCAGTGCAGACCCAGTTCAGACCCAGGTCAGGCCCAGTTCAAACCTCTTGTGTTGGTGACATCATGGTTTTGGGAGATTTCCATTAGATTAAAAGTGTCTGTGACTGTGTCTGTGACTGTGTCTGTGTCTGAGTCTGTGTCTGAGTCTGTGTCTGAGTCTGTGTCTGTGTCTGTGTCTGAGTCTGTGTCTGTGACTGTGTCTGAGTCTGTGTCTGAGTCTGTGTCTGAGTCTGTGTCTGTGTCTGTGTCTGTGTCTGTGTCTGTGTCTGTGTCTGTGTCTGTGTCTGAGTCTGTGTCTGAGTCTGTGTCTGTGTCTGTGTCTGTGTCTGTGTCTGAGTCTGTGTCTGAGTCTGTGTCTGAGTCTGTGTCTGTGTCTGAGTCTGAGTCTGTGTCTGTGTCTGTGTCTGTGTCTGAGTCTGTGTCTGAGTCTGTGTCTGAGTCTGTGTCTGTGTCTGTGGTCTGAGTCTGAGCTGTCTGAGTCTGTGTCTGTGTCTGGTCTGTGTCTGTGTCTGTGTCTGTCTGTCTGTGTCTGGTCTGTCTGGTCTGTCTGTCTGTGTCTGAGTCTGTGTCTGTTGTCTGTGTCTGTGTCGATCTGGTCTGTGTCTGTGTCTGTGTCTGGTCTGTGTCTGAGTCGCTGTGTCTGTGTCTGTGTCTGGTCTGGTCTGTCTGAGTCTGTGTCTGGTCGTGTCTGTCTGTGCTGAGTCTGAGTCTGTGTCTGTGACTGTGTCTGAGTCTGAGTCTGTGTCTGTGACTGTGTCTGAGTCTGTGTCTGTGTCTGAGTCTGAGTCTGAGTCTGTGTCTGAGTCTGTGTCTGTGTCTGAGTCTGTGTCTGAGTCTGAGTCTGTGTCTGTGTCTGTGTCTGTGACTGTGTCTGAGTCTGTGTCTGAGTCTGTGTCTGAGTCTGTGTCTGTGTCTGAGTCTGTGTCTGAGTCTGTGTCTGTGTCTGAGTCTGTGTCTGTGTCTGAGTCTGTGTCTGTGTCTGTGTCTGAGTCTGTGTCTGAGTCTGAGTCTGTGTCTGAGTCTGTGTCTGAGTCTGAGTCTGTGTCTGTGTCTGAGTCTGTGTCTGAGTCTGTGTCTGAGTCTGTGTCTGAGTCTGTGTCTGTGTCTGAGTCTGTGTCTGAGTCTGTGTCTGTGTCTGAGTCTGTGTCTGTGTCTGTGTCTGAGTCTGAGTCTGTGTCTGTGTCTGAGTCTGTGTCTGAGTCTGTGTCTGTGTCTGAGTCTGTGACTGTGTCTGAGTCTGTGTCTGAGTCTGTGTCTGAGTCTGTGTCTGAGTCTGAGTCTGAGTCTGAGTCTGAGTCTGTGTCTGAGTCTGTGTCTGAGTCTGTGTCTGTGTCTGTGTCTGTGTCTGTGTCTGAGTCTGAGTCTGAGTCTGTGTCTGAGTCTGTGTCTGTGTCTGAGTCTGTGTCTGAGTCTGTGTCTGAGTCTGTGTCTGTGTCTGAGTCTTGTTACAGAGTCTAGTGCTTTATGTATTCTGTCATCCTATCACAAGCACCGCCAGGGCGCATGCGCGTGGGTCTTATATACGGCCTCGGTGCCGCAGTCTTGCTCAGTTTGATAAAGCACCTTATACTTAACTCGTGTCTCCGCATTCCTTCTCTACCGTTCTGCACTAGACACAAACATGGTGTCAGAAGTGGTGACTACGTTGTACCATTCGTTGTACCTGTAATACGTAGCTGTGTTCTCCAAACCGGGCGGCTGGCGCCATTCATGTCCGACGCAGAGGAATCAACAGGCACCGCGTTCGCAGTGAGCATGGCGGCTAACATTCCCCCGCCGTCTGTGATGGGCTTCACGGGCGATTGGAGCACTAACTGGGATGTTTTCCGCGCGGAATATGAAGACTATGTTCTTGTGACTGGAGTGGCGGAAAAGGACAAAAAAATACAGGCGGCAACTCTCCGCAGTGTTATGGGCAGCGAATGCAGACATGTTTACCGTCACAACCTAAACCTCACGGCGGAGCAGAGAGAGGATCCCGCGGCTATACTGAGCGCCCTGGAGAGGTATTTCAAACCGGCAAAAAACATAATCTATGAGCGATATCTGTTTGGATGTTGCAAACAAGAGGACGGTGAATCAATAGACGCCTTTGTGACCAGGCTAAGAGAGAAAGCATCAACGTGTGAGTACGGACAATTAAAAGACGAAATGATACGTGACAAAATTGTGCTGGGCATTGCAAGTGAGAGCTCCAGGCGCAGACTGTTGAGGGAAAAGGATCTTAACTTAGTCACAGCCATCGAGATGTGTCGTGCTGCAGAGCAGACAGATTTAAGGATGCGAGTAATGGAAACTGCTGGGACACACGTAATGCACACCGAGACAGTGCACTCTGCTGTCAGGCAACCAGCTAAGCACTTCAAAGCGAGGCAGAGCGACTCAAACAAGGCGGTGGACCCCAACTGCAGGTATTGTGGAAACACCCACACGAGAGGCAGGGACCACTGCCCTGCTTTCGGGAAGAAATGTAAATTGTGTGGGACTAATAATCACTTTGCTAAAGTCTGTATGAAAAGCAAACGGGGCAGCACCACGGGCAAGGTGCTCTGCATGGACGGGGAAGCTGAGTCAGGGCAGAGCAGTGAGGAGGAGACACATCTGTACATGATTGAGTCAGTCAGTGCAGTGGGACAGACTAAAGGGAAAAAATGGTTCGTCACACTAAAGTTCAACAGCAAATCACAGAGGTGCCAGCTTGACTCGGGAGCCACCTGCAACATAATGACACTGAAAGATAAGAAAAAGCTCTCATCCAAAGGAAAACTACGCCAAAGTAATGCCAGCCTCAGACTGTACTCGGGGGAGATAATAAAGTCATTGGGAGTTTTTGACACAGAATGCACGATCCAAGGCATTAAGCACAAGCTCTCCTTTGAGATAGTAAGAAAGGGTCAGTTGCCTCTCCTGTCAGGCGATACCTGTGAACGTCTTGGTTTCATACGTTTCACTATTCCGGAAGATGCACTCAAGGTGGACACTGTGGTGCGAGCAGGACATTTGACCAAAGACACTGTGGTCAGCAATTACAACGATGTGTTTACTTCACCCGTGGAGGCATTACCTGGCGAAGTACATTTCGATCTAGATCTGGACGTGAAGCCAGTACAAAGTGCTCCCCGCAATGTCCCCATTGCTCTGAAAACTGCAGTTAAGGCCCAGCTTGACAAATATGAAGCAGAGGGGCATGTTGCACCTGTCACAGAGCCAACAGACTGGATCAGTAACATGGTCATTGTGAGCAGACCACAAAAACTGAGAATTTGTCTTGATCCCAAGTTTCTGAACAAGGCTCTACGGCGCTCCCACTACATAATGCCGACTCTGGAAGATGTATTATACAAGCTGCCCAAAGCAAGGACCTTCACGTTGGTCGATGCCAGAGATGCCTTTTTGCAGTGTAAGCTAGACACAGAGAGCAGTTTCATGACTACCTTTTGGACACCATGGGGTAGAAAACGCTGGCTAAAACTGCCTTTTGGTGTGTCTGTAGCACCGGAAGTATATCAAAGAAAGCAGCATGAGCTACTGGCAGGTCTGGAAGGCATCGAGCCCATTGCTGACGACATTCTGGTGGTGGGCTGCGGTGATACGGACGAGGAAGCAGAATCCGACCATGACACCAAACTTCTGGCTCTGCTAAATCGCTGCAGAGAAGTTAAGCTGAGGCTTGGACTAAAAAAGCTTCAATTCAAGATGTCCGAAGTCCGTTTTCATGGCCACATTCTCTCAGCTGCAGGTCTTAAACCCGATCCGGAAAAGGTGAGGGCGTTAATCGATATGCCAAACCCTACCGATGCAAAAGGAGTACAGAGGCTGGTGGGGTTTGCAAACTATCTGGCCAAGTTCATGCCCCACCTTTCAAGTGTCTGTGAGCCTCTGCGACGTTTGCTAGACAAGGACACTCCTTGGCATTGGCTGCCAAAACATGAAGCTGCCATACAAGAACTTAAGTCTTTAGCTACAACTGTGCCAGTACTTCGATATTATGATGTGTCCCAGCCTGTCACAATCCAGAGTGACGCGAGTCAGAGCGGGCTTGGCTGCTGTCTCATGCAAGAGGGACAGCCTGTTGCATTCGCTTCACGAGCTCTCACCGCTACTGAGCGGAATTACGCACAGATTGAAAAAGAATGTCTCAGCATTGTCTTTGCATGTCAGAGATTCCACTACTATTTGTATGGCCGTGACGCTATCACAGCAGAAACAGACCACAAGCCCTTAATTTCAATTTTCGGCAAGCCTCTCCTCAGCGCTCCAAAAAGGCTTCAGGGCATGCTCATGACTCTTCAAAGCTACAGTCTCTGTGTAGTATACAAACCGGGACAGGAAATGTTTATCAGCGACACACTCAGTCGGGCAACAGCGGCCTGTGCCAGCAATGCTAACTACTACCAGCGACATGCTATCTGTTTTCTGCAGGAGGTCCAGGAGGACCTGCAACAGGTGAACCAAGCAGATTACCTGAACGTAACGGGCCAACGCCTGGAACAAATCAGGCGACACACAGACAATGATGAGGGTCTGCAGGCATTGAGGTACACAGTCACCACAGGCTGGCCGGATCTCAAAGAGCAGGTGCCCGTCATTATTAGAGGATACTGGCCCTATCGTGATGAGATCAGTGCTCAGAATGGCATCTTATTCAGGGGTCAGAGAGTGGTTATTCCCAAATCACTCCGTACAGAGATGTTGGCACGCATTCATGCTAGCCATATTGGGGGAGAAGCATGTTACAGGCAAGCTCGGGAGACATTGTTCTGGCCGAACATGCAGTCAGAGATCAAAGACTTTGTCAGCACTTGCACTACATGCAATGAGTACGCACATGGCCAGCAGAAAGAGACTATGCTCTCACATCCACTCCCAACAAGGCCATGGCAAATAGTCAGCATGGATCTCTTTGCTCACGGGCGCAAGGAATACCTGCTCATTGTAGATCACTATTCTGACTTTTGGGAGATTGAGCTCCTCCCTGATCTTTCAGCAGAGACTGTGATCAAGCGCTGTAAGGCTCAGTTTGCAAGACATGGCCAGCCGGACAGGGTCATCACAGACAATGGCCCTCAGTTTACTTCCGCATTTGCTCGTTTCGCCTCAGAGTGGGAATTTGAGCATGTGACATCCTCTCCAAGGTATCCCAAAGCAAATGGTAAGGCTGAATCTGCCGTCAAGATTGCAAAGAATCTGCTTCGCAAGGCCGCTCGGGATGGAAACGACCCTTGGAAAGCAGTGTTGCACTGGCGCAATACTCCGACAGAAAAACATGGACAGCAGCCCAGCGCAACGTCTCATGTCCCGTCGCCTTAAGACATCCATTCCTGTGACCAACAAACTCCTTGAGCCGGTGGTGGTGACAGGAGTTACTGAGAAGCTTCAATACAGGAGGCAGCTCGCCAAGTCGTTCTACGACCGGTCAGCGCGGGTCCTACCGGAGCTGGAGGTAGGAGAGACTGTCAGAATGAAGCCTCCTCCTGGCGACACCTCCCGCATATGGAGAGCTGGAACCTGTCTTGGCAAGGTCGCGCCTCGGTCTTACCTTGTGGACATGGACGGTTCTGTTTATCGCCGCAACAGAGTGGATCTTAGAGTGGCAGAATCAGGGGCTGCTCTGGGATTTGGGGACAGTGAGTGTGTACCTACTGTCAGTTCAGAAGTAAGGGAGATGGGGGCTTATCCTACTATTGCCGGTTCAAGCCCTGCTAGGCCCGTAGTAGAGGCCTCACCAGCTACTCACACGCCTGTAGCCTCCACTGTTACTGTAGGTGTAGGGGAGGGGTTGGTACGCACCAGGGCAGGGCGCCTTTCAAGGCCACCTAAAAGAATAGACTGGTAACCGGTATTATAATAGTTTATATTTCATATGGTTCCTCTGTTTTATTTTAGTTGCATTGGTTAGTTTTAAAAATGTTGTTTGTTGTTTACTGCCATGTTATGTTTATACCAGGCAACTTTAGGAATTTTGTTATAGCATTCTTGAGCTGTTTTGGAAAAGGAAGATGTTACAGAGTCTAGTGCTTTATGTATTCTGTCATCCTATCACAAGCACCGCCAGGGCGCATGCGCGTGTGTCTCATATACGGCCTCGGTGCCGCAGTCTTGCTCAGTTTGATAAAGCACCTTATACTTAACTCGTGTCTCCGCATTCCTTCTCTACCGTTCTGCACTAGACACAAACAAGTCTGTGTCTGTGTCTGTGTCTGAGTCTGAGTCTGTGTCTGAGTCTGAGTCTGTGTCTGTGTCTGAGTCTGTGTCTGTGTCTGAGTCTGTGTCTGTGTCTGAGTCTGTGTCTGTGTCTGTGTCTGAGTCTGTGTCTGTGTCTGAGTCTGTGTCTGTGTCTGAGTCTGTGTCTGTGTCTGTGTCTGAGTCCGAGTCTGTGTCTGTGTCTGTGTCTGTGTCTGTGTCTGAGTCTGTGACTGTGTCTGAGTCTGTGTCTGAGTCTGTGTCTGAGTCTGTGTCTGTGTCTGAGTCTGTGTCTGAGTCTGAGTCTGAGTCTGTGTCTGAGTCTGTGTCTGAGTCTGAGTCTGTGTCTGAGTCTGAGTCTGTGTCTGAGTCTGTGTCTGAGTCTGTGTCTGAGTCTGAGTCTGTGTCTGAGTCTGTGTCTGTGTCTGAGTCTGTGTCTGTGTCTGAGTCTGTGTCTGTGTCTGAGTCTGTGACTGTGTCTGTGACTTTGAGTTTGGGAACCAGGAAGGAGTTTGGGGAGTTTAAAGTCCGTCTGTGATCTGAAAACCAGTGAAGATGATTTTAATACTTTTCTTCATTTGTGGAGATGTGAAGAACTGTCCTGTAGTCTCACTGTAGACTTAGACCAGACTTAGACCAGACTTAGACCGGACTTAGACCAGACGTAGCCCATACTTAGACCAGACTTAGACCAGACTTAGACCGGACTTAGACCAGACGTAGACCAGACTTAGTGCTGGTTTCGTTCCCGTCGTCATATAGTTTGACTTGGTTAAAGGGGGAGATTTTAATGATGTTGTTTGAGGTCTGGTCTGCAGTGAATCCTGGTTCAAAGTCGTAGTCATTTGTCCACATGATAGATATAAGTATAGGTTCTTCAGCTGTTCATGGGTTCAGTTAACTTTGGTTTATTCTTAATTAATGTTTTCAGTGTTTGAAATAATGCTTTGTTTGTGGTCGAGTCTGATCTGATCCTGGTGTCGCCTCAGTCCTGCTGAGTCTGAATCTTTACCTTTAAAACTCCACAGGTTTCTACTGTTTACTGTTCACGTGTTACTTTCTACATGTCATTCATTCATTCATTCATTCATTCATTCATTCATTCATTCATGTTCCACTCCTTCATTAGTCCATTCCTGGGTCGGGGGGTGACAGTCAGAGCTGCCCCAGTCTCACAGCACCAGTCCCTCTGATCCTCTGCAGGGGGTCCACAGGAAGATGGCTGCTCCGTCAGCGGTCTCTCAGCGGGAGCTTCAGGCAACGTGGGGTTAAGTGTCTTGCCCAAGGACACAAGGACAGTAGACATTTGTGGGAGCAGTTGGAGTAGGAACCCACGACCTCCAGGCTCAAAGGCCAATGCTTCTGTCGCTCCTTGTGTGTGAGGATGTTATTGTTGACTTTTGGTTGGACCCAGTTTCAAGCTTTAGTCGTTTTATGCTGTTTTTTTGTGGTTTTGTGTTTTTTTGATGCATTAATAATAATAATGTCATATGTTTGTGTTGGACCTGGTGCTGCACTTGTTGCTTGTTCTTCTGTTTTCATTCAGATCTGATTTGTAACATTTGTATTAAACTCCTCAGACCAAATTAATTATAGGCCATTATTTATTTTGACAAACCATTTTAAAGAAAGACTGTTTATCTAAATATCTGTTAAATATCATGCAGTACTTTCAGCAGTGATCCCAGTGTGACTTTCTACTTCCGGGTGGATCATCAAGACTATTGGTCCTCACATGTGTCAATCATTCTGGGGATACGTGCTCGTCCAATCAGACCAGAGAGTTTAGTTTACAAAGTGGAGAGGGCGGTTCTTTCCAAACATTTGGGAAAATCCTCCTTTTTACCTTTAATGGCTCAAGAACTATGAAAACATTCTACCAACACTTGAATTGGACTACACTTAATAACTAACTAACGCTTAATAACTAACGCTTAATAACTAACTAACTCTTAATAACTAACGCTTAATAACTAACTAACTCTTAATAACTAACTCTTAATAACTAACTAACTCTTAATAACTAACTCTTAATAACTAACTCTTAATAACTAACTCTTAATAACTAACTCTTAATAACTAACTAACGCTTAATAACTAACTAACGCTTAATAACTAACTAACGCTTAATAACTAACTAACGCTTAATAACTAACTAACGCTTAATAACTAACTCTTAAGGGCGGCACGGTGGCTGAGTGGATAGCACTCTCGCCTCTCAGCAAGAAGGTCCTGGGTTCGAATCCCGGCCGGACCAGGGCCTTTCTGAGTGGAGTTTGCATGTTCTCCCCGTGTCTGCGTAGGTTTCCTCCGGGTACTCCGGTTTCCCCTACCACTAAAAAATATGTACAATAGGACTGTGCATGCGCCTCCTGTTCGGCGACCCCGCTCCCATCTCTGTGTGGAGTGAGAGACAAGTGCCCAAAAAATAACAATTGTAAACCGCTTTGTGACTCTGGTCTGTGAAAGGCGGTATATAAATAAAGCTTACTTACTTACTTACTTACTTACTTAATAACTAACTCTTAATAACTAACGCTTAATAACTAACTAACGCTTAATAACTAACTCTTAATAACTAACTCTTAATAACTAACTAACGCTTAATAACTAACTAACTCTTAATAACTAACTCTTAATAACTAACTAACGCTTAATAACTAACTAACTCTTAATAACTAACGCTTAATAACTAACTAACTCTTAATAACTAACGCTTAATAACTAACGCTTAATAACTAACTCTTAATAACTAACTCTTAATAACTAACGCTTAATAACTAACTAACGCTTAATAACTAACTCTTAATAACTAACTCTTAATAACTAACGCTTAATAACTAACTAACTCTTAATAACTAACTAACTCTTAATAACTAACGCTTAATAACTAACGCTTAATAACTAACTAACTCTTAATAACTAACGCTTAATAACTAACTAACTCTTAATAACTAACTAACTCTTAATAACTAACGCTTAATAACTAACGCTTAATAACTAACGCTTAATAACTAACTAACTCTTAATAACTAACGCTTAATAACTAACTAACTCTTAATAACTAACGCTTAATAACTAACGCTTAATAACTAACTAACTCTTAATAACTAACTCTTAATAACCAACTAACTCTTAATAACTAACGCTTAATAACTAACTAACTCTTAATAACTAACGCTTAATAACTAACTAACTCTTAATAACTAACGCTTAATAACTAACGCTTAATAACTAACTAACTCTTAATAACTAACGCTTAATAACTAACTAACTCTTAATAACTAACGCTTAATAACTAACTAACTCTTAATAACTAACGCTTAATAACTAACTAACTCTTAATAACTAACGCTTAATAACTAACGCTTAATAACTAACTAACTCTCAATAACTAACGCTTAATAACTAACGCTTAATAACTAACGCTTAATAACTAACTAACTCTTAATAACTAACTAACTCTTAATAACTAATGCTTAATAACTAACTAACTCTTAATAACTAACGCTTAATAACTAACGCTTAATAACTAACTAACTCTAAATAACTAACGCTTAATAACTAACTAACTCTCAATAACTAACGCTTAGTAACTAACTAACTCTTAATAACTAACGCTTAATAACTAACGCTTAATAACTAACGCTTAATAACTAACGCTTAATAACTAACTAACTCTTAATAACTAACGCTTAATAACTAACGCTTAATAACTAACTAACTCTTAATAACTAACGCTTAATAACTAACGCTTAATAACTAACGCTTAATAACTAACGCTTAATAACTAACTAACTCTTAATAACTAACGCTTAATAACTAACTAACTCTTAATAACTAACGCTTAATAACTAACTAACTCTTAATAACTAACGCTTAATAACTAACGCTTAATAACTAACTAACTCTTAATAACTAACGCTTAATAACTAACTAACTCTTAATAACTAACGCTTAATAACTAACTAACTCTTAATAACTAACGCTTAATAACTAACGCTTCATAACTAACTAACTCTTAATAACTAACTCTTAATAACTAACGCTTAATAACTAACGCTTAATAACTAACTAACTCTTAATAACTAACGCTTAATAACTAACTAACTCTTAATAACTAACGCTTAATAACTAACTAACTCTTAATAACTAACGCTTAATAACTAACGCTTCATAACTAACTAACTCTTAATAACTAACTCTTAATAACTAACGCTTAATAACTAACGCTTAATAACTAACGCTTAATAACTAACTAACTCTTAATAACTAACGCTTAATAACTAACTAACTCTTAATAACTAACGCTTAATAACTAACTAACTCTTAATAACTAACGCTTAATAACTAACTAACTCTTAATAACTAACGCTTAATAACTAACTAACTCTTAATAACTAACGCTTAATAACTAACTAACTCTTAATAACTAACGCTTAATAACTAACGCTTAATAACTAACTAACTCTCAATAACTAACGCTTAATAACTAACTCTTAATAACTAACGCTTAATAACTAACGCTTAATAACTAACTAACTCTTAATAACTAACGCTTAATAACTAACTAACTCTCAATAACTAATGCTTAATAACTAACTAACTCTTAATAACTAACGCTTAATAACTAACGCTTAATAACTAACTAACTCTTAATAACTAACGCTTAATAACTAACTAACTCTTAATAACTAACGCTTAATAACTAACTAACTCTTAATAACTAACGCTTAATAACTAACGCTTAATAACTAACTAACTCTTAATAACTAACGCTTAATAACTAACTAACTCTTAATAACTAACGCTTAATAACTAACTAACTCTTAATAACTAACGCTTAATAACTAACGCTTAATAACTAACTAACTCTTAATAACTAACGCTTAATAACTAACTAACTCTTAATAACTAACACTTAATAACTAACTAACTCTTAATAACTAACGCTTAATAACTAACGCTTCATAACTAACTAACTCTTAATAACTAACTCTTAATAACTAACTCTTAATAACTAACGCTTAATAACTAACTAACGCTTAATAACTAACTCTAAATAACTAACTCTTAATAACTCTTAGTTGCTGTAGTTTGAGTTTTGTTGGTAAATGTGAATCTTTGGGGTATTGTCACAGTTAAAGGGCTCAGTGAAGGTTAAAACTCGACTTCAGCCCAAACCCTTTTCACTCAAACATTATTTAGACCTAAAATTATTAGTATAAATGTTTTCGTTTTTATCCTTTTAGTAAAATGTATTAGATCTTAGGAAACATGTGACTGAGGTTTTAATGAACGTAACGACCAAAGAAACAAACGACAACATTCCAGAGACATTTTGATTTGACTTTTTTATCAATACAAGGTTTGTTCACTGCAAAAACCATGAAGCCACTTTCCTCTGAACATTTCCCACTGCAGCCCAGGACTCTGCAGCTGGAGAGTGTGTGACAGAATGAAATGGGTAGAGGGGGAGTGAGGGGGAGTGAGGAGGAGTTAGGGGGGAGTTAGGGGGAGTGAGGGGGAGTTAGGGGG